CTTTTAATTGTCGACTAAGTGTAGAAATATCGACATTAAATTCTGGTTGAATTTGACGTAATGAAACTCCAGTCTTTTGGTCAGTCAAGCGTTTTAGTCGATTTAATTGTTGTGTTGATAATTTTTTAGGACGACCAACTCTAGGCTTATCGCCAATAGCACCAAATTCTTCATACTTTTTAATGATTCGATATATAGTTGGACGTGGAATTTGTTCTTGTAAAAAATGATTTACAGTAATTCTTTTTTCATGTTTAGCAAAGTTCACGTAGTGTTGTACAATGCGTTTTTCAAGGAATTCTCTTTCTGAACGTACCATTGTATTATGAATAAAGATGAACTAATTTGTTTTATATCAAACTGAACTTCTTTCAGCGCTCTATCACGTGATATAGGGAGAAAGGAAAAAAGTTTGTTTAACCCGAGATATATATAAAACAAATTTGTCTCAAAACTTATGCAACATGGGTTAGGTATTTTCCAATAGTGTGTCGCTTCTTGTGCCTTCGCTCTCTTTTCTTCGTCTTTGTCTCCTAGTTTATCTTTCCAAATAAACTTCCAAGAAGGCCGACCGCCTCGCGGTACACCTATCTTTCTCTCCTCATCACCGACCGAAGGATTTCTGACGTTGGGAAATTCGAGTTTGAGGGTGAATTTCGTTTTATTCGCTGAGCCTGGGCCTGTTCCTTCCTTTTTACAAAGGAGATATGTTTCTTTATCTGTTCTGAAATCTTTTGTAGAAGATGGTGAGCTGAACGGTATTCAAGGACGTCATGCGTACAAAGATAGTAGCTCAAGAACTTACACGAAAAGATCTAATGCATTGTACATAATGATGCTTTTAATTGAAGAAATCCGAAAAAGTGATATGAGCTTGGTATCATCCTTGCTTTGTAGGCTACATACATCATATCCTTTCATGGGAATTTAGTAGAAGTAGTTCGCAAAGCGATATACCCGTCAGTGGAATTCCATCTTAGTAATTACAGACGCGTGGACTGTAGAAACAGTATTCTGAACACATACCGCACTATGAAAGGTGTTCGTTTCGAATAACCTTGCCAGACTTCCGATAATATTGAAAGGGATTTGACGAATGAATATTCCTCAATGAAAATATTCGACAAGGTATCATTTTGTTGACAACAGAGAAAAGAATCGGATTATCGCTGGAAGACACAGGTGAATGTTCAAAATTTTCAAGTAGTCTACTGTATATCGTCCGTCTATGAGTGGTTTAGTAAAGCATTTATGAAAATTTCCATGCGCGTGATGTGAAAAAAGAAAAACAGAGGACAAAGGTCAATGGTTGGCCGTTAGTGGCCGCCTGACTAGCCGTTGAGCGATGAATTTTTCAGTCAAAATAGCTAGTGCTGGAGAATTATCCCCTGACAAATGGCTAATCGGTCTGATTCCTAAAACGAACTCTTTATTCTATTCACTCTAGTGTGTGGCATAATGCCATGATTCAGTTGAGCACTAGTAGCAATCGCAGTGCGTTTTTTCTCTTTCAAAGTCTATGAATGTGTTCAGCATTAGGAAAACTCTTTCAGAAAAGGGTCAGCAAATCCAAAGGATGAGCGTTACTTGTATCAAATATGTGCATGTACACAAGATCGTTTTATTAATTAGAAGCACTGGGTTTGAATAGGTTTAGTGAGAGCTAGAACACTAGGGAGAATAACATATGAAAAACATGACGTCATATGGAAGAAACGAACGAAAATATTTGACATCATGAATAAAAGATTTTTCCTTCTGAACAGTCTGTATGAAAATATGTAGATGGCTAGAGAAAACAACAACAAAAGTCAATAGTCAGTGAAAATAGAGAAATAGAAAAAGAAGTCTCGTTATACTTGATATAATCTAACAGACGTAAAATTTTAGTTCAAATTGTATAAGTATCTCACATCCAAATAATAATAAACACTCCCCTCATGCTGAAATCAGTACTCCAGTATATCAATTGTCCTGTCTGATGTCGAAGTTCATTTAAACTTTTCTTATAACTTTCAAGCCCGAAATCTGGCACATGTTCATCAACAGCACCATCATCAGCTAGTTTTAGTGTAAGATTATTTAGTCTGGGGAAATCAGCTCTTATTCTTCTAACAAGTTTCTGTAATTTATCTGAATTTCCAACACTAAATTCACTATGTAGCCTAAGTGTGAGTGATTTCAGATTCGGTGTGATATGTGCTAGATTAGAAAAGAATGTCGGATCCTGATCATTAAAGAAATCATCCTTAATCAGCTGGACATCATTTATTTTTCTGGAAATACTTGCAGAAGTAAGAAACTGTTTCAGAAGTAATAGAGCATCCTCTGTACCATCGTCTTCAAGAACTAAGCTATGTAGATTAGGTGCAAGTGCGATCACTTTAGAAAGAAATGAACGTATCTCAGGGCTGGAATCTACCGTCGATTTGCAAATGTGAATTGTGTTCAAATGTAGGAGTTTAAGATCGTCGCTCAGTTGAAATGAACTAGGTGGATTGACATACAAAAAGGAACTTTCAGGAACATATAGTGAAGTAACAGCAAGTAACTCCGATCGAGGAAGGTCTGACTTGAGTTCTGTTCTTTTAAATCCTAATCGCCACAATGACGTATCGAAAGGTTGCGGTCGTGGATTAGTGTAAGCAGAGTAGGTTGAGTGAGCTGATATTAATATTTCAGCATTTGGAAACCGTTGATCCGGCCTATATTTCGTACGAATATCGTATTCGAAAGTTTCTAACTGGTCAACGTTGTTTACTAAACTGTGCAGCTTATCGAAGTCCGAAAAGTCTTTCTCTGCATTGAGAATAATTAGACCTAAATATTTCAGATTATTTTTGAAGTTGTTCAGAAGTTTGCTTAACATATCGAAGTTTGATTGATTTAAGTTGTTTTTGTTATTTTTTGATTTCAGCTGACGACAATCGATTTCTAAATGTAGCTTTTTCAATGTGTCTGGTACTTCTATCACTTCCAAATCAACAAAAGTATAGAATGACAATTTCAATTCGTCGAGGTTTACTGCAACTTGGAATAATTTTACCAAATCAATAGTAGACATTAAATTAATGGACAGACGTTTGAGATACGGTGTTTGTTGTGTTACACTTGTGAAGTAATCAAAGCTATATGAATGAAGCACTTTCAGTGTCTGTAGATTAGGTGTTGCGTACTGCGATATTGACTCTAGGATTAAGCTTCCATTTACATCAATTGATAGATATTTGAGGGTTGATATTTGTAAAACTTGAATGAGACATTTATCTAATTTATCAGATAAAATTGTATCAGTTAAAGGTCGTTTCAGCGTAAGTGATTCGAGGCAAGATAAATGATGGAGTTGTAAATGTACTAAGTCAAACAGTTGTAATCCACTCACTGTAAGAGATCGTATGCTATTGCTTTGGAACGGAAGAATGTGTTTGGCAAATAAACGAAAATGTTTGTAGAAGAGATCTGCTTGTGTGAGGTTCACGTTAGAAAGATACGGTTCAACTATTTGTTGAAAACGTCGATTTAGATCTTTAAATGCATATAGTAGATCAAATCTGTGTAAATAACGAAAAACCAGTAAGAGTAATTCATCAGGCAGAGACTCCATGATCGAGTGAGAACTTTAAATGAAACGAAAGAGAAAAACTCGAGTTCTTTTATAACCACGTGAAGCAGAGGAAGCAAACAGTAAGTTGTGCAATAACTTCGCAGTGTGATGAAATGTATACCATGACTCATTAAACACACAGTTAATTATACACTGCAAAAAAAGGAGTTTTACCAAACCAACAAAGGAACTTCCCTCCGATTCACGGGACGATCCTTTTTTGGTTAAGTAAAATGAAGGTTCCGTATCATAGATACCGTACGGAACCATCTGTAACTATATTAAAAAACGTTTCGTAAAAATCCATAGCTGCGAAACCTTCGTTGCATTAGTTGTTCTCGTGATTAGTCACAGATTCCTTTATAGTTATCCTCCTACAGGCTCCGTATTCACTCACTACAGAATATATCGTTCAAAGTTACCTTTCAAACGTCCACACACCCTCACCCACACCCTCACACCCACCCTCACCCTCACCCTCAGATAATGAATTGGCAATGAAAGATTTGTTGCAATAAAAGTCGTTTTGTAAGGACGTGCTTTTGAAGAAACTCAAGTAGAGTATTTATACTAATAGAATGAGTAACTTAGTCCTATAATCTTCGCATTTGATTTTTATCAAGTGATGTAAGAATGATTCTTTATGCGGATTACTTCCGTACTGGATTTCACGTTATGAAGTCTTAGTTGGTAGTTACGCAAGAAAAAAGACCTAAAAATGGAACTTTCTGTTTTATCACTTAAATTCTCGCCACATTAAAGAATGCTGTAAAGATCATCAATCTTTTTTCCTCCATTGTTTCTTTTACTGTCTGATGAGTCATAAATCAGAGATAGAGGATTGGATTTCAATTCAATCGACACACACATACTAGGAAAAAGTCAGATAACCTATGTAAATGAGTGGCGCTCAGCCGTTAGTAAGAGTCATCTTTTATTGCATCTATTCGAAATAAAAAAGAAGGCAGAGTAGAAGTTAATGTCTCACTGATGAAACTAACTAAATTTTGTTAAGGTCCGTATAATATGATAAAATAGTTTATTTTTGAATAGTAAAACAAGACATCTGTCTATGAAAACGAGAACTGTTTATATAGTACGCAAACACACACATAGTTGGAATATACTAAATAGATATAATCTAATCTTATAAAATTCCTAAGATGTTATTACAAAGAATGGAGCCTAGATGAAGTTCCTTGGAAAACCCCTATTAAGGGGGGGGGGGTACCTCTCCCTTAAGATCGAGAGTGAGTGATATCTATAGTAATCATATATATATATAAGAAAAGAAAGAGAACAAACATATGGAAAATACCTATATCATGAGACATCTTATGGTACGTTATATTACGTACCATAACAAAGATCCTTTTAAAATTTGTCATATTGAACGGATTTTAGAAGGAAAATATTCTGATAACCTATGTCGTTCACTGCTGAACTATATACAGGAAATAAATACTTCACAGATTGAAGATATATAAACATAAAAACAAGAAAAATGACTATGTATTCTCTTCGTCGAAAGCAAATGTTGTAATAACATAAATACACAAATTTATTTTTGAATAAATGAAATAAAGATTAACAAAATAACATTAAAATAGAATGTGAATGTACAGGTATGAAAGTGTGAGAATATTATAGAAATTGTAAATTACTGTAAGGCTCAGTGAGTTTTTTTTCCTTTATCGTATTTTTCATTGTCATTTCAAAACCAAACTGATAGAAAGAAAGTACAGATTCATGGTTGAACAGTTCGTTGTATAATTAGTTAATTGTAACAGGAGTAACATAATGTACAGATAGAGAAAGAGAGATAAACATTCATAAAACACAAATAATAACTGTCAAGAAAGGACTGACATAACAAAACATTTGCGTTAGATAGATAGTAGATATAATCATACATTAGCAAACGTAATAGAAGAAGACTATGGAATTGAACTGTCTCTGTATAATTAGTTTCTGTAGAAACATTTATTTATTTGTAAAGGAAAAAAACATGGTTTATCGTGAATAAAAAGTTTTTGAATATAAATAAAAGAAAAAGCTCCATTGATTAAGCATTAATCGAAAACAGTTCACAACTGCCGACAGACATACCACTCATAGTTAGCTGTCCTGCTATAACAAGGACTGCTGTTGATGGTGATGAAGAGCAATTAGTAAAAATAACCGATGTATGAGCCATACGAGCAATGTTCATATCTGCTACAGCACGCCATGTATTGAGTCGATAATCATAAACCTCAGCCGAACGATGTATTGAACCGTTTATAGACAGTCCACCACTTAGAAGAACTAATCCTGACGGTAATAAAGTTGCAGCGGGTTCAGATCGCCTTTGTATATTATTTGCTGCAGATCTAAATAATTTCGTTGTTGAATCAAATAAATAAGTTGCAGTAGTATTTAAATCACTACCAACTATTAAAAAGTGCCCATTAGGAAGCAATGTAGTTGTATGAATGGAGCGGAAGAGTGGCATTGTATTCAAACTACGAGTCCATTGTAATGTTGACACATCAAAGATTTCAGCTGAGTTATCGCGAGAACCACCTATAACTACAACCACATTCATAGATAGTAAGTATGTTGCTAAGAAATCCATTCGTTGATTAATCATTGAAGTGGTGGTTGTCCACTTATTTGAAACGAAATCATATAATTCACATGACTGAAAAAAAGAAGACTCCGTGCGATCTCCATATCCACCCATGACTAGGATTTTATTCATTGGCGCTGGCAAATAGACTGCTTGATGTCTATGTCTGCTAAAAGTCATATTGCTAACAGCTGTCCAAGTATTACTGACAGGATTGTAGATTTCTGCGGTTCTCTTAAATTTATTGTAATACCAACCACCTGTAACAAATAATCGACCATCTGGCAAAAGAGTAGCCGTGTGATATATTCGAGTATCAATCATTGATTTGCCTCTGGTCCATGTTTTTGTTGAAGAATTGTAAAGCTCCACTATATTAGCGTCTGCGTTACCTGCTATAGTGATGACACGTCCATCAAAAAGAAGAGTTGATGTATGTCCAATACCACCTACCGCAAGTGATCCTGTTTCTGACCAACGACCAGTATCTAATATAGCTAACAATGAAAAGATCTAATATGTATTATTTACAGGTTCAATTTACTTACTGCTTATTGTTGTTGTTGTCTTCGTCGTGGTAGAAGTAGTAGTTGTTGTTGATGGTGGTGCAGTACCAACTGTACGATTAAAAGTTACTTTATTGTATCCACTAGCAACAATGAAGAATGGCCCTGTCACGTTAGGATTGTAAGTGGTAACAACTAACAGAATTGTGTCTGAAGGTGAAGCATTCAAGGTAAAACTAAATTCCCATCTCTCAATATTTTCATCATCAAAACCCTTAATTAAATTCGCAGTCGGATTCAATGGATTAAACGCTTGATCATAAATGTAAGCAAATGTATCAATATTACTATAACATTGGAAGATATATGAACCAGCAGCTGAAACTTTTATATTAATAACTTCATAATAGAAGTTAGCTGACGAACTCCCATTACGAGTATACATTAAATTTTGCTTTGTCAATTCACCAGAATAAGTTGAAACTAACAGCGATGGATATGCTTTATTATGATACAAAGAATAAACGTGTGAAAAAATCTGTGTATGTATGTATGTATGTAATAGGTGTTACCTGGTTCAACTGGTATTGTGAATGATGGTAATGAAAGAGTAGTTGATGAACAATTATAGTATCGACGAATTATTTGAATATCAGTGTTACTTAAATTATAACGTTGTCCAATTTTAATGTTTGATTGAAGTGGTTCCATGGTTGGTTTACCATTAATTGAGAAATCATATTTTGCATAGTGCATAATTGACGAGTAATCATAGGAAGTATTAAACATATCAGCAACTGGATTATTATAGATCAAGTATTGCTGATCGGCTCCTAAATTAGAAGATTAGAAAAAATAAAATCGATTCAATGTGATCTGTCCTGAAAAACAAGTAATATTACCTGTTTGCATATTCTCGGGATATAATTCTACATACAATCCACGATCACTTCGTGATTGCTCATGGAACAAACCTGTTCAGAAAAAAAAACGACAAAAATTTAGAATATTTAGCATATCTATATTCTCATTCTTTCATATCGAACTTACCTAATACATGGAGAAGTTCATGGAAAGTTCTTCCATCATCAAAACAACCTGGATATTGTAATATTACATTTCCTACCCTTCGCCCAATCTAAAGGAAAAGTAAGATATGCATTTTCAAAAGCAAATAGAATTGATTAATTTCGCGTACCGATGCAGAACAACCTGTACCATTTTGTATTGTGATGTAATATAAATCTGTTGAGATTTTTGGTCGAAATTGTATACATCGAGCATTATTGATAGCAACTAAATTTTCTATCTTGCGCATTCGAGTTACAATAGCTGTTTGTAATTGCGGGGCTATAAAATAGATTCCTTAGTAATATAAAATTCTCACTCTAATCATATGTAATGATGATGACAATGAAATTGCAAATGATACATACTATATCCTGATCCAAACTGATAGGGAACGATTCCATCAGGCCAACGTGCATCATTAGCCATGTATACTAAACCACGCTGAATTCAATGGCATAAATGTTAAAGCATTACTGAAATAGAATCAACATCAACTTACTATTTTACGTGATGAACCAATTACATGTCCATAAGTTCCATCCGCTGAAAAATAAAACAATACAAATGAACATGTCTATTAGAATATCTCTAATACTTACGTAGTCGTTCTAGATTTTCAAATTTGGCGTGTGGATCTTTCGTAAAAAGCTAAACTTACGCAGTATATTTTTCATATAATTTCAAAGGAACATTCCACTTACCTCTACACTGAATACTGCATGTACATCCGCAACAATACTGATAATAATCCATAAAATAAAAGCAATTACATTCATCATATTAATCGAACTGTGGCTCGGATTAATGGTTACCTACCTTTTTTCCACCTACTTATATATTGTACAATAGTCATGAACTATTAGATTTTGATTGGCAGATAATGATCATTTGTATCCAGGCTTTTTTGTTAATAACTTATTGCTAAATCTATCATATTTGCTCATATGTTATGAATATAATAAATATATAATCTGCATGACTTTGATTGATCCAAACTATCGGGAGAAAAATCAGCTAAGTCATGATAATAAACAAAACAAAAAAAAATATGACTATCGACGGGTTTACCTGTAGAAAATAACGAGATATATTTCTTCTTCCTATCTCAAAATATTTCTGTCATGTACGTCATTTTACTCAGATTTTTTCACATTAATCTATCGATATTCAGTTATGAAATTACTCGTCACTAAACAGTAGTAACTGAAATCCAACCATTCATCTCTTCTTTAATAATCAAATGAAGGTAAATATCATCAAATATGTGTTTATTTTTTAACTAAATTTGAAAGCTCAGATTTTCTTCGTTTAAGTCGATTTGTTTATAGAAGAGAGTGAAGAGTTTTTTTTGTCGTTTTATCTACGGTTCGATAAATTATTGTACAACAAAAGTGTAAAGTGGAGAATTCTTAGATATTGTTTGTCTTGAAAGTAAAAGATGAATGTAGGTATGGAATGAAGTTGTTCTATGCGTTTAATAAAACTCAGATCTCGTACAAACCAAAAGGATTGGTAAAATCCACCTTTTTCGACAGATGATGCAAGCAGAGAATAAATATAAAGAAATGTGGATAATCACTTTTCTTCTTGTTGAAAAGAAGTATTGTATTTGAATTCTTTTTTAAATAAAATAGTCCTAAAATCATTGAGAATTAGGTTATTTCTTATTTTAATAGACTCTATTCATTGTTTCTATAATCATAATCAATTGAATTAATCATTTCATATTATTAGTACTTTTATTGATACTTTGACTCTTGATATATAAAAAGTCTTAATCAGAATTTGTCTTGTTAAACTTACTATTTTTCGAAATATTCGATGGATTATAAAAATGTTTCAAAAAGTTGAAAAATCCTTTGTCGACAATTTTCAGATGTTTGTTGAATAGTTTATATTGAATTGTTTTCTCAACGATCAATTTATTCTCTTTCTCGTAGCGAAGAGTCTTAGAAACATAAATTGTTTGTTTGCTTGCTTGCTTGTATGTCCGCAGGGTCAGAAAAACATTGAAAATCGATTTTTCTGAAAAGACATTTCAGATGTATTTCGATGCGGAGACTTCGAATCTGATGTTACTTTTTGGAAACTTTTCATAAAAAAATTTGTTTAGACAAAGAACGACTTTCTTTACAAAAAGGTTTTGTTTTACAAAATTTTACCAAAGGGTTTTATGGGTCAAGGAACTCGAATCTGATATCATCTCTTTGAAATTTTTCATAAAAAAATTTTTTTGAGACAGAAACCCAATTTTTTACAAAAATGTTTTTTTGTAAAAATTTACAGCAGAGATTTTGAGGTTGGAGAGAAGAAATCTGATGTTATTTTTTGAGAATGGAGAAAAATTTTTTCAAACCGAGGATACCGATTTTCAGAAAAACACTTATAACTTGTTTACGAGTTCGACCCTTTCTTGCTCCAGATGCTGAACGGAAACGTCTAGATGAACTTGACAAAAAAAGAAAACGAGAATGTACCTCTTTCGCTTTTTGAACGTGTATAAATCAATACACTGTTAAGAGTTTAGTGCTATTAGAAGCATATAAAATGTATTATTACTTTTCAAATTATCTTAAAATGATTATTCGTATATGTTCATTTTTTTACCTCTTCTGTTGTCATTATGAAGAAGAACACTGATATTGTTTGCACCGTAGTTAGCGGTAACTATATCGGGTTTGTTGTCATTATTGACATCGACGACTGCCACTGANNATCGATATTTTCTCAAAAACTAAAGGTTCGATCATTATGAAAATTTTAGGGTATATACAACTTTTGATGCTCTATAAGCTCATGGGGAAATAAGATCAAAGTTTTGACTTAATAAATATGTTCCATTGTATATACCTCTAATAGGTGTATATGGATTATGTCCTCTGTGAAGCCAGTAACTCCGCCAAAAAATCGACAGAATTCAAAAAAAATGGAGGATAGATGTAACTTTATATGATCTATGAAATGATGGGGGAAAAAGTGGGGGTCAAGGGGGGGGGGGGGGGGAAGCCCCCCCTTAACGGAAAAAATACAGTTATTCACTTGTAACATTTCGTTTGGATAATTCATCAGTTTTTTCTAAATATCAAAGTTACTCAATGTTTCACTTATGCAAAGATGTACGAGTGAAGAGAATTCAATGACAAAAAATCATTATCTTTGTATATATTATAACTAATTTATGCGAATATCTATTTGAGTGAACAGATTATGAAGGATCTATTAAAAATTTAATTAAAAAAGTCACACTTGAGAGTGATTATCGACTGTTATATATAATTATTAAAGAACAAAAATAGTTTTGTTTTATTTGAAAATCACATCTCTAAAATATTCTGCCTTTTTATGAGGATGAGAGTGACTTCTTTCGTTCATAGTTATCGAAAGTAAATTAAGTAAACATTCGAAATATAACAATTTTGTTTTATATGATTCAAAGGAAAAAACATAAATTCATTGAAGTTCAAGTCTTTAATGTATGACATACATATGTGTTCAATCCGATTCTGTATGATCTAGAGCAGAAGACATGTTGCGAATTCCGTAGTGTCGTCTTTTACGAGATAAATCAGCATTTGATTTAATAAAAACAATATCACCACTGTTACCAAAATGAATGCCAGCCCAACCACTTTTCTCATTCAACATTTCATGTCGAACACGTGCTCGAAATTGTTTTTCATCTCCATCCATTTTCCACATATTCTTTTTAAAAAATGAAAGTATCTTTTCAATCACTAAATCCGGTAAAACTTGTCGTTGATGTTGATCTTCTATTTTAGCTAAAAGATTTTGACATTGTTCATAACTAATCAACGGTAAATTTGATATTGATAAAACATCAATTGGATATTTCGGAGAAACGACGAAAAAATTCACGAATGTACGACGACGAGCAATCGAAGTTGCATTTCGCATCGAACAGAAACGATGTGCTAAATTATTGGCAAAAACAATCGCAGTATCAGTTTGAGGCATAAGATAACGATTGATTTCAATATCACCCCATTCAGCATATGTTTTGCTCGGTGTTGTAGCCGGACGAAACTTGAGCGCACCACCTTCAAGTTGATCATCGATATGCAAATAATAAACACCAACTCCTTGAATATTTTCTGTACGACCTTCGGTATGCCAACGACCAGAATATTTTACTCCTAAATAGAAGAAAAATAATAACGATGATATTAAGAATTTCTATTTTTCTGAAGAATTAATTCACCTGGTTGAAGATTATAACTCTGTACTTTCACAACAACTTGTAATCGAATGTCATCAGTCTGTTTAACAAAATCGAGTATTTCTCCAAACATTGGTACTAATTTCGCGAATATTTTTTCTAACTTTCGATATGTACGAACATATTGTTCGGTCATTGGTAAATGATTAATAGGTGTTTCAATATGTACTTCATAATTGGAATCATTATGAACAATTCGAAATTCACTTGGAGTCCATTGATAAGTGTCACGTAATAATAATGATGAAGGAATATTTGTTTCGTCGTCAGTTAAATCTTCATCGGAATTATCTTCATCAGATGAAAGAATTATGGGAATTGGAAATTCATTAGGTCGATAGAGTAAAAGATCTGGATCAATAATATCTTCTACAGGTGATGGAAACTTATGAAAATCTTTTCGTTGATCATTCAATTGATAAAATGTTTCCAAAAGTTCTTCTCTTACATTTGTATTATTATCATTATCAATGAAATTAGATAGACCATCAAATATCCATATGGGATATTTAAGAGTAGCAGAACCACCATCACCATATCGAACATTCTGAGTTGCAAATTCTTTTGGTTGATAATAATAACCTTGAAGACATGTGGATGGACATTGAAGACTGATCTGTTTACTTGCGTTTAACCAATCGTCTTCATCAGACATATTATCATTTGTTTCATCATCATTAGAAGACTTGTTTTTTGGAATTCCAGCCGCCATTAACTGTCCTCTGAAAGAAAGAAAGAAAGAAATGAGTCTTTGTAATTACGAATTCACATGAAATGTTGTTTTTCTGTTTCTTTATGATGATGTATGTTTTATGAGTCAATATAATCATAAGAGAAATATTAGAAATGAATGAAAAACATTCTATCGATATCAAGATCAAATTTGTACACAGAATGATTCTTTAGGAAGAGCGAATCAATATTGATTACCATGGCTGAAAACGACTTCTACAACACTTTTAGAACATTTCAGATTATTTTCAATAACAAAAAATAGACATTTTTCAGATACGGCGAATTCGCTTTGCCAAAAAGTAATCGAGATTAACAGGAAATGAAAATTGTTTTGATATATAATTTCGAACACAGAAATCTTAATTTAATATTTATTTTTAATTTGTTAAATAAATTTGACTCTATTAATGACTTATGCATTCCTCAAAATTGAGGTCGATGGGATTCGTTCGACCATCTGAAGAAGCAAATTTTTAAAACAGTAAATAGTTTTGACACTTTGAAGACAATTTTGTACTTTCATTCTTCGTCAATGTAATCGATATGTAACAAACCTTTGGCACAGTTACTATAAAATGTGAACTTGGATGGGTTTCAAGTGTCATTGTGAATGTAATGAATGCTTTTGTTTATGTACTTGTCTATCAACAAGATACTAAAGGTTCTTTTGAAAAGATTAATAATTTTCTTACCACTGTTGATTGATTTAATATCAAAATATTATTTTTCTTCTTTTCGATGAATGTTGACGATCTTATCTCAAATTAGATTCATAGACATACCATACATAACAAATCAACATAAATCTCAATGGATTCGATGTCTTGGACAAGTCTTATTTTTTCAAACGAGCAAATAATCTCTCTTGAGATGGTTATTGGAAATCATTTTCAAAAAGAGAATATCGATGGTATAAATTGGAGACTTTTGACTGGTAAAACTCAAAATTACTTCCCATGAAAATCACCTGCTAACGCGAATATTCACTTATATGATATTTTGAATACAACGACAAAATTTATTTGATATATGAATGTAAACTATTGACAATACTCTTTAAAATCTTCAAGGTAAAGGTATAAATATGAGAAGAAGAGAAATATTTTCATTTTCGAACAAAGTATACAACATTTACTATTCATTAGGTATGTGAATTGAAATTCTTGGTATTTCTGGTATGACTTGATTATTGATTAAATTCGTTCGCCTTCCTCCATTCAAATATCTTTCATAAAATATATTTTTTAATTGTTGACGAAATCGTTTTGATAAACAAACATAAATATAAAATGGACTCTAAACATTTCCAAAGAGAATGTTAACAAATCTGTAAAGGAAACACTTATTATACTGACCGCAAAATAAAAAGTATGTAAATCAACACTTAAAATAAGTAGACATTTTATTAAGTCGTTTATGGAGAAATAAAATTGTGCAATAAATATCATTAAATATGGTGATATAAAAATACAATTGAAAATCACTTGAACAAGAACCATTTGTGTTAATTGTTTATCTAATTCACGTCGAATTAATGGAACTGTTCGATAAGCGAGATTTCTTACATTATAATATGTTAATAAACCAAATATTATCATTGTAATTAACGGTAAAACACACATCAGTAACAGTACAAAGCCAAAACTAATGTACATTCCAAATTTGATATTTGAACTTCCACAGATTAATAAGTTCGAATCGAATGGCAATTGAATTATATCAATATAGAATGCAAATGGAATTCCATGAAGAAACCAAAATATAATCATTCCTATGATAATATTACGAGCTAATTTTACATTACAATATCGATGTAAGAAAGGATAATGTGAAGTACTTAGAAATTGATCAATTATTGCGAGACATATCGATGTAAATGATATTAATAACCATAATTGAAAGAAATAATATCGATATTTACATAATAATGTTGAAGTTATTGACCAATCATTTCCAAATCCATAAATCATTATATGACCAGGTAACCACATAAGTAAATGAAGAAGATTTGCCAATGACATAATTATCAAATAGAATACACATGAACTATTTCGAAATGTTCGAAAACTTAAAAATATAGTTATATTTAATAGACCACCAACTACACCAAGTATAAGAATGATAAAACCTAAATATATTGTAATTTGACGATATAAATATGTGTAAAATGAAATCGAAGATGTCGACATGTTGTTGTGTTTCTTTCGAATAATTTTTTACCAAAGAAAACAAATTTAAAAGAGACATAATAAGTCTCTTCTTTTATAATGCACATAAAGTTTAACGGGCATTAATCAAGTGTCTTCCCAAGGAGATCATTTCTTATCTTTGAGCAACTTCATCATATTTAAACTAAGTTAATTTTATATTTCATAGAAGTATTCATTTCAGGGTCAAAGTAAGAACGCAATAATATGCAAATACAAAAAACGTGGTTGAAAGGCAAGTTTTCTATCCGACGAACAAACAGTTGCGACATACTAAATGAAATGTGCGAAACATTAATTCATTTCTTTTATTGCAAAAGAGTTATACTGTGGATAGGAAATACAATGGATCGGTCATTTTAATTGTTGTCTTGATGTAATTTATATCGAATTACACGATCGAATCCATTGAAATTTGACATTGAACAAAGCACTCTAAAACTATGTTGGCAAAAAAAGCCATTAGGTCATTTATTTGTTTGTTGTACAGGTATATTAGAAACTGATTGTGTAAAACATCGTCTAGTATATGATCGTAAGACATATTTTAGGTGGAATGAAATTAGCTGAATCAAATGAACTAATGTCTATAATATCAACACTAATAACTGTTGAGTCTGTAGAATTAATGTTACGCCTTAAGGTTGACTGAAATGAGAAGATATTTCGGAATGGTTTCGGTTAATTAGAAAATGAATTTTGATGTTGAATTAAATTTTTGCAGTAGTCGTAAGTTGAAAAGTGTCAATATCAGTACGAAAACATTACTCTAATTATTTGATTATAAACTTTTCAATGTATCACGAACATCAGATATTTGTTAATTCTTTCTGTAACTGTTACATTTCATTCGTTTAAAAACTCATTAACATTAATTGATAAATCTTCAAGGCAATTGAATGGTTAGTTGCTGAGAAAGACAACGTCATACATAATCTTATAGAATATTGGATTTTAGGAAAAGAGATTTTTTTCATTTATATTTTGATTGGACGATACAATTTGATATACATTTCCTCTTGAAGATTTTGATAGGAAAAATTGAGTATTTCTCTTATCTTTATATTTTCAATGCCGCTTATTCTTAATGAATTTTCTATTTCAGTTGTATTGCAGATGTGAAAACTGAATCAACTAGTCAATTAAAGAGAAGAAAAACAAATTACAAGATGTTTGTATTCTGGGAGATGGAAAACTTCTACTTCTTCAGATAAATTGTTGTTTACTCGTCTTTGTAATGCATACGTTCGTATTCAATCGATCAAAGTTTGGTTTTTTTCAAATGTATCGATACATCAGCATCGGTTCTCGTGTTGCAGAAGTAAATCTTACGTTTAGTTTTGTAGAAAATGACCATTAAATGTGAGAGAGGTAGTAATTGTAACCATGTCCTTGTTCAAAATGACATAAACTGGCTTTGGTGGTGGAAGAAGAGGAGTTGGACCTGGGGGAGGAAAATTCTTTCCAAGTTGTTTTACATATTGTTTAACATCATTCATATACAGTATTAAGTCATTTTTTTGATTGTGTTTCATAGCAAATTCTTCAAAATAAACATTTACTTCTTCTAGAGTTGGTATGTGGTCTATTGTAGGTAGATTTTCTGACCACATCAAACGATACATAGTTAAAACATTAATAATATGTTCTAGAGTGGGCATAGTTAATAATTCAGTTGATAATAATGCTTCTCCACCTGTTAATAAATATAAATGACTCATTGTCCAAGGATACCATTCGGATTGAATTGTTACATATCCATGTTCGATATGTTCATCGGAACTATTGTATTCATTTAACTGCTTGATCCAATCTTTTATAGTCAATAAGTCGTCAGAAATAGAATCGATTGCATAGGCAGGATCGATAACCATTGGTCCTTCACCATCTACATTGACACATAATGCTACATGTGGGATTCTTATGGAATTTAGACAAGAAATCATATTTTCTCGAAGTGGAATACGAAAACCATCTGACATTTTCATGTAGAAAGGCATATATTGAGACGCGTAATAGCCAGATTTGTTCATCTGACGCGGTGATCTAGGAGATCCATGAAGTCCTAGAAAATATACAAAAGCTAGTGCTTTTGCTGCTCCAGGTAGTTCAGAACATATTGTTTCGGCCATCGCACGCATAAGTACTGCACGATAAGTACAAATTCCATCACCATGTGCTTGTTGCCAACTATACAGAGGATGATTTTGTATAGTTTTGTAGATTTTACGGACAAAGTTCTTCGGTAAACTATTAGTAATAACAAATTTAGTATTTAGAAAATTATTCGTATCTTTTGACTGAAATGCCAGTTGCTCTTTATCACTGATTGATTCTTCTAAGAAATATTTAGTTTTATCATCTGGATTATTGGAAGTTTGTGAACGTGACGTATTCGGAAGATGAGAATCAGGAAATTCTTTGTGTAGATCAAACCAGTTCATGTTCATAAACTTAAGACACATTCATTCACTTTCATTGTCCAGTATCGAATTGGTGAATGATAGATTTGCTTTTCTCAAACATTTCTTAAGTTCATTTTCGACGATACATCCAGTTTTCGTTTGATCAAATTTTTGAAGAAAATGAATGGTTTCTAATATTTCAGAAGGTTTTATTTCGCGTCCAAAAGAGGTAATGTTGTTATTGGCATGGTTATGTTTTCGTGTACATCGTATGTTTATCATTTACATTTTATATACTTGATTTCTCATGTGTGACAAAAAAGTATGTTTTGATTTGAATTGATTGAAAATAATATGAATATGTTGTCAGTGAGAGTATATGGACATTAGACATACTAAATCATCATCAAATCTAAGAAGTACAGTACACAAAACTTGCACAGATATCATCAACAACAACACTAAATTATTGACTGATTAGAATTTATCTAAGATTTCCATTTGAGAATTTTCTTCATGTATATTGTGATTGTCGAAAAATCTCTATCAGTAAATTTGACGAATAAACGATTCTGATTGAAATAGTTGAATTTGATTATTATTACAATCTGCAACAATGTAAATACCACAAGAAATCTTATTACAATCTATAGTAGCATCGTGTATTTAGCACATGAATTATTATACAGGATATTTCATTACAAACATTGATGAAACAGATGGATAATGATAAAAGAAAAAAGAAACGATATATTTCGCTATGATTCTTTCATATCTGTGTACGAGACAACCTTTTCGATTACTCCAATGAATGGAAATATCAACTCATCATCGAAAGGATATATTTAGAAAATTCTTTGATTATATGAAAAATATAAATCTATTTGATGACGATGAAGATCTCAATCTAATCCATCAATTACTCGCAACTAAAATTTATCTGATTCTTTTAGTTACTTCTCTTATTATTATTGTCATTTTTACTAATTACATTTACTGTTCAAACTCAAACTGTCATCATTGATTTTCCTACAGAATTTCTCTTCAATCTCCAAATACACCCTCACCCTCACACCCACCCTCAAGATCATCATGTTCTCTAACCAAGAATATCATTGAACAACAAGTGGAAACATTTTTCGCTCGAATCGATTCGCTTTTGAAGAATTTTATCAACGAAACATCATCTAGCTATCAACAATTACATGATCATCAATTACAAAATATATTCTTTACTAATTGGGATTTGCAGGTATTAACTGCGAAAGATAAATCTTTTATGTTAACAAATCCAATTCAATAGAATCAAAGCCTGATAAAATGTTTCTCTGATATGTCATGTTTAAAAAGATTATTTTCTTTTATTGGTAGTTCATATACTCCATCACCTCTGAAGTCTATCTATTAGTACGCGTTTTACACCGATCTCATCACAGTTTTCATTGGATTTATTGAATCATGGTATGAATACAAGTAATTATCCAAATTATTTCTCAAGATGTGTTCCATTAGCATGTCAATATACATATATGAGTCAGATGAACAATATGTACATGTTAACAATGTTTCCTGGTCTATATGGCGGATTGGCAGTCGAATTAAAATTAATTATTTGGTATAGTTTATATTTGTATTGGAAAATACAACATTGGTTTGCTGTTCGTAGAGAATCTGTTGAACCTGTACATCGTATTACATGAAGAATATCTTAAAAGTGTATTGTCTTCATCTTACATTCTGAAAAAGAAGAAGTCAATAATAATTTGTTAGTGTATATTTTCTACAAGATACGTCGAATGCTACAAAAACAATCGTCGATCATTGAAAATCGTATTACGGCACTTTTGAATACATGATCATCCGCTAGTAGATCAACTCTAGTTCTTCTTATTCAGCAGAGCACTCAAAGCGTCGTGGCCAGGATTTTTAGTATACCCGAAATAATCAGAAGTAATAAGGTAACAGAATTAGTAGTTTTCGAGCAGGCAAAAAATCGGAAATAGATGTAAACTCGCTTGAAAAGAGTTCATTTTGAGTAGTTAAATACATGTGAAAATATGCGATCGTGTATAGACGGAGATATTTCCTAATTCGCATGATTCACAATTAAAATATTCTCATTGTAAAGCGTTTTCCACCTGATTTTGAGAATTTATATAATCCAGTGCATATCCTGAACAGTTGAAAGAATTAATTCTTTTATATGCATATATATTTATGACTGCGATTAATACTCATTTATATATGATTTACAAAAGAAAATAAATGCAGAAACTTCAGATTCTATCTCAGGGTTGAATCGAGTTTTTAGTTTTCGAAAATTAATAATTATGTAAACAAAAACATTTTCACTCGAGGGCGTTAAATGAGTCGGCACGACGATGAGCGTCTTTGTTTTTTTATGTTCTATAAACCGCTCATCGCATCGATCTCGATTACATTGATCTTTCTAGAGTTGTTGTATCGACGGATGAAGAACACTGGCCAATTCCAGTAATGCTCTCATATTGTTAGTCTACTATGGCGGTAAGAAGCTTCAAAGCTGTTCTCAAAAACGTGTTATTAGTACTTTGACAATGGTCAATTGAAGCCCAGATTTAATTGTAAGAGAGGCCGTTTTTGAATGTGTTCCCATCCGTCACAGCATTCAGTACAACCGGAATGTTCTCCATTCATTTTGAGCTCTCACGAAATCGAAATCTATATTGCAAACTTTGATGACGATAGCTGCAGCAGAGCGTTTTGACTAACAGAGAGGTCATCTGGGTGAAATACGGCCAGCCGGACGGACATTTTGATCACGCAAAATACATTTTTAGATGAAATGTTAATCATCAGGATCTTTCAACACTGTTTCTTGTCACATAAGAATACCGACACATCGACGGTGCACGTGTCGAATAATAATTGGTTGCATTTTACCAGGATTCAATGAAGAATTCGTCAATTATTGCGCGAACATTGAAAGGAGGTGCAATGTAGAAACTATTGTACAAAGCAGATAATGTCGTTAAGCATCTGCTATGATAAAGGCATTCAAGTGTTGGCAATCGACGACCAAAAGCAGGCCAGAGCAGTAGAGAGACCATCGACAATACCAAATATTGCGTAGCAATGATAAAAGCTCGATTGAAACGTTATTCGTATGTATTAGATTACTCGTGTTTGCCCAATCTTCAATGAGCAACTCGGAAACAATGTTTTTCATTTTGTTGCAAATGAGGAATGATTTGATTTGGTGACAATGATTAATTATATTCACATTGACCTGTACAATAACTATTTTTACCGCAAGAGCATCTGTTATCAACGCTACTGTTTGGCACATAACGAAGTATTGAAACTGTCGTATGAGGGTTGATATCTGAATATGAAATGTATCTCTTGATATGACTTATGTATTCATAGACTATATCGCATTAAATGCAACTAGCTCATTTCTCACTGTACCATTTGCCATTTGACATCTCGAAACTTGAATTCGAGTATTCGACAAGCTCGAATAGTTGGATTCAAGTTTCGAGTTTGACAATACTGTAACATATAGTTATCTTCAATATTATGTCGAAAAGGAAAATGTCATCAGTACAATAATAGAAAATTTATATGTTCATTAGCTAAATACTATTAAGCTTCATTTTATTCATAGATTTCATATTGATGAATCATTGATAATCAATTTCGAAAAAGTGTCAATAATGATACACACTAGGAAAATAACTATTCTCCTAATAAATTAAAAAAACGCATTCCCCAATAACTTATTAAAAAAGCAGTTGGATCTGATTCTACAAATCCATCACCACCATCCAAATCATAGACATTATAACCCCATGTATCAACAGTTCGTTCGTCAGGTGGTAACATTTTTATTGAGCGAAGTGCTCTCTCCATATCACAAAAAGCAGGCACATTAATTTGAACATCCAATCGATCACTATTGAATTGTGGCCAGTTAATAAGTTCTAATGGCCAACGTTGCATATACCATATTCCATCTTTTGATAATGAATTACAATCGAATTCAGGAGAAGTTCGACGAGATGTTTTGAATAAATGCTGAGTTTGATTCACCTGACCAGTGGCATAACAATAAATGAAATTATAAAATGGTGATTTATCCATTTGTTTATACTTATGCGCTAGTTCTAATCCAATCGTCATATATTCTAATAGATTATCGACAACTGATTGTGCACGTTCCTTCTGAGCTTGAGATAAGAGAGGCGTAGAAGTAAGTTTATTAATTGCAGAAACTAAATTAAAATAGGACCAATAAGCGAGTACATCATTCCAATATTTAACTTGACATACTGCAATCATCTTTTGATTAATGATATTAACATCATAATGGTAAGTGTCAATAAGAAGTTTCGTAGCATTAAGAAAACGTTCGTCATCACTATAAACATAAGTGTGAATGAGAAAAGCCAATATTTCAAGACTACCAAGTCCTCGTTCATCTACATAACCAATATCACTATTTATATCTAACGGATTCCAAACACCTCTTTGAGTACCATTCGTACCTTCTAAATACCAATCATGAGTTAAAATATGATTAGTGATATTGAAAAGTAACGTATAAGCTCTCTGGCGTTCATCATCATTACTAGCTAAAATATCATGTACTAATGGATGAACAAATTCATGTCCGACAGCTTCATCAGATGAAGTATCACCCTCATATTGAAGAGTTGGATAAATAGGAGATAAAAACCATCGATGTGGAGCAGGAGGAGTCTCATTACGTTTTGCAATTGAACGAGCAGGATAACCAGGAATACCTGTAACTTTATGAAGAAATTCTAATGCTTCAAAGTGAGTCCATGCAGATGTTTTGACTGCTGCATCTTGAGTTACTTTATAGCGAAAGATTTGACTACTTAAATACTTTGAAGTGCAAAGACCATCATTATCATCTGGCCCTTTGACACAAGTACGACTATCTCCCCATGATGACATACTGCAGCCCGATACCAAATTATATCTGTCATGTCTACCTGGTTGATTGAAGAAATCTTGAAAATGTTTTGCTTTTTGTGCCAATGTCCACATTTGAAAATGAAGAACGGCTAAGCCTTTACTAGTGACTGCTACAGCAGTACTGCCGAATACAGCCAATGAAACTATATTGACCAATGAATCGCGATTAGGCATATATCGAGCACTATTAAATACACGCCAAGCATTCATGTCGCTATCATTAGGATTATAACGCATCATTCCACGAATAGAGCCCAACCAAACTCGACTGTCAGATAATGTTGAATGGCTTACACCTAACGTAGTAATATTAGCAAATGGTAAATGACCAATATATGATCCTGGGTTAGAAATTTGTCCTGCCAATCTAGAAAAAAACCAATGTACGCGTCCTGTCGACATGATAATTGGTGAAAGAAGAGTAATGCCAGTGTCTTGCCCTATCCATAATTTATCTTGTTCATTATTATAAACTAATGCAGTGATAGGTGCATCAATGAGTCCAGTGATTAGCTCACGGCGCCATTGTTCATCGTCATTGGTATATGAATAAATCCAGAGTTTGGTTTCTGTACCAATGAAAGCTGTTTTATGTTGTGAACTCCAGGCTAAAGACGAAACAGATTCATTTATTTCATTAATATAAGGATGAATAATAAATGTTGAAAGATCTAATCCATGAAATCCTGTATTCGTAGCAATATATAACCATCCTGCTGTTCCTATATCATCTATAAACAAACCGGCTGTAATATTGGAAATATTTGATAAAACAGAAGGAAACGCGATAGTTTTTATGATGCTGCAAGAAATTGCATCTGATTGATTGCATAAAATTAACTGTATACGTTGTAAGGAGATGAGAGCAGCTGTACAAATCATAGCAGTAGTTTTATTGTGTGAAGCAACCAAGAAGCTTTTTGTGTCAATTTCAGGCAAAACTACTGAAGTTTTGTTGTCAGACAAAGACATCCAAGACATTTGTAGTGTTTGAACTGTTGAATTAGTATTTTGAGTTAATAACCAAAAACTTTCAGTTGCTTGAAAATAATATTGTGGCAATGCAATAACTTGATATACATTTTGAATATTAGTAAGTACTGGCCAAGCAGTAGATTCATTGGCAAATGGCGCGAATAAATAACGTTTAGCTATGACCTGTTCATATTCGACATCTGGAATAGGTTCCGATAATATTCGATGAGCATTAATCAGAGATCTATGTTTTACTAAAAATAGACTATTGACTATTATTATATAGACCAAGGACCAAACGAATGTTGACCACATTATACCACGTTAGAATAAAAAAATGTTTTGTAGAGGTAAGAAAAATGACTTACATATGATATAGTTACAGGTAACGGCAACACGAAGCAACGATATCATAAATATAGATTAGATTAATTGCATACAAGATAAAATATTTAATGTTGTGAAGCTTTCTTTTTAAATGCAAATAGTTGATGTTGTTGAAAGACACTTTATAAAAAATAAAAACACACCGTAACTTAATAGTTTATACTAGAGCGTGTGGATGCGAATGTATTTCACTCAGACCATCCATCTGCTACTTACAGGTCTTTGTTATAGGGTGAGAGTGAGCTAACAGATCTGGGTGAAAATTACACAAATCATTTTTTTTGTATGCGTTAACGTTAGCAACGTTTTTGTTAAAATATCTTTGTATTATAGACTGATTGAATAACTGATTCCTGAGTCAACAGAGAACTTAATAATAACATCATTCAGTAGGTGTTTATTTGATATTAACCCCTTACAACAGAGTGCGTCCTCCAGAAGACATTAGACTACTCGTTATATAACGGAGGAATCACGCTTTATTTCCGAAGGTTACTATTTTTCAGAATGCAGACAGTCCAAATGGACGTAAGATCGAAACAATAACGTACCGAGGCTGCTGTCAAACACCTAAACATAGATTACAAAATTTTCAATCCTTTAGCCACATTCGATTTCTCGGACATCCCTATTTTCTGAGCATACAATATGAATTTTGAGTGATATTATTAGATTATGTTTTATATCGATGTAATACGATACTCTCACATTGCAAAAAGTATCATTTTGGTATAGCACTATTTGTCACAGTAATTATCTTTATCATAAATAATAAGAGATGTTTCAAAATATCATCAGAATGAACTTATAATAATTCTGAATCCTGTTACACTAAGTCATCCAAGCGTAAATCTATGAAGATTATAATTCACTCACGCCGCCCGAGTAAGAAAACTTTTTGAGTTCACTCAATAGTTCTGACCACCACATATGCTTACAGATGGACCATAATCTCTACTCAATTAATTAACCAGTAGAAAGAATCGAATAACTTGAATTTCAATTAAAGACAAGAACAACAACAAATAAGTTATGATTGTGAGATAGACTTGAATACGAATGCTACACATACGATAGACAAATCTGTGTTGTTGTTATAATTATTCCTCATGAAAAGTTTGAGATGGGAAACCAGAATCGAAAGTATCATTGTAGAGATACCCATATGTATCCAAACTACTGCTCAATGTAATTAGTATAATATCCATTTGTTGATACATTAATCTCTACAGCTTGATAATAATAAAGTATTACTTAGCAAACATCCTTACAGCAATACATTTTTTGACCTAGAATTTGTCAAAGCTGACAAATAGGTCGATTACATTTGCGAAGAATCTAATCACAAGCAAAATGAATAAGTTGTCTTTTCAAAAAGTCTTCGTCTGTAATCGAACGGGTCAATTTGTCTCTCATTACTTCGATCCAGTAATAAACAGGTTTTCTGAACTGATTCTAAGAGATAATGAGAGATATAGTGCACGTGAAGTATGATTTTTGCACGATAGATTTGGTAAAATAAGGAAAAAATGAACTTTAAAATGCGTTCCTGTAGATTGAAGAAAACATTCTAATCCGATCTGTCCAAGCGTAGTCAACCGTCGCTATTTTCAAGTACAAAAGTTTGAAAGAGAAACGAGGGATCGAAAGTACTATTGTATAAATATCCATATGTAGTTAAATCATCATCCGATGCAATACTGTAGTATCCATTTGCCGATACGTTAATCTGAATAGCTTGATAAAACTAGCATGGCTGAGATCAAATGGCTTCCACGACAATACATTAGAGTATAAGTGTGCTTGAAGTTGATATGTAAGTTGAGTACACTATTGGGGAATTACCTATCGAAAGAGCCATAAACAATGAAAGTTTTCATTTATATCGGTCTTTCTAAGTAAGAATTCGAAAAGATGTTCATGGCATCTGATTTTGACCACAATGATGTTCTTCTATTTCATATTACTACAAATTACTCTGATTTAAAATTAAATGAATTTCCTGCAAATTCATATTTTTAACATAACGATAAGCATGATAAAATTTATCGGTGTTTTATGGATACAAAACACTGACTATGCTACTATAGAGAAGATGGATGATCTATCTGATATGAAAGCGCTCCAAATAACATATATGGCAAAATCAATAAGAAAAAATCGAAACTTGCTGATTTCTAAAATAAACGAGTTGGCTTAGGAATGATTAAATGATGTATATAAGTTCGACCTATACGAAAAAAGATTGGCACAGCATGAATTAGTAACAAACACCATTGCAGCAGTTTGACATATTTTTCATCAAACAAAATAATATGTAGAAATATCAAAGATAACATTGGTACAAAAGAAAGACAATAAATACTGTAATATCGAGAAAAATAAACTATGATACGAAGAATTAGGAAATCGCATACGATCAATGTGTGACTATTGAAGAGAAAAAAGACACTTAAAACAAATTTTCTCATGTAATTTTCAGTTTGAAACTTAATAATAATTTATTTGAATATAAATTTAAAAAGAGATTATTTAGATAGACAGAATGAGTAATGCTAAAATCTCATCTCTCTCTCTAATGTAAAAAATATTCTCGTCTTTCACTCATAATAAAATGTGCTAATCGTCATTTGTCGTGCTGGTTATAATATCCAATCTAAGAAGAAAAAAAAAGATAAGAATATTTTATTTGATTCCTAAACTTCTTTCTTTACTTTGCGATAAATATTGAAAATATAACGAGACCTGTTATTGTTATTAGTAATAGAGTACAGATAAAAATGATCTTAAAAGAACATTGAAATGATGAATTATCAACATTTATGGATGTTTCATTAATTGAAGAATTCTGTTGAATAGGATATTTTCTTTTCTTACGATATTGATAAATTTTAAATAGAATCTGTACGATTGTAGGACAAATCCATTGTAGAACAATAGTTAAACCACCTTCTAGACCAAGAATAAGAGTTATTGTATAAAGTAAATTAAAATTTTGAATATATGCATATGAACATAATAATGGTGAACATTGTTCATAATATGATGAATAATTGATTTTTGTTGTCCATCGTTCAACAAAGAGATCATCAACAAATTTACTAATAGTTGTATTCATTAAAAATCGACTCGTCATGATTGGTAGTGCATTTGATGAATTAACATAGTTTGTGTATTGTTGAAGAAGATTTAAACATGTTTGATTATAGAAACATTCAAGAGTTGAACTAAGAAGTGATTCACTTGGTGTACAACCTATTTTCAAACCTTGAATTGGAATCAATTTCAATGGATTTATTTCAATAAAATTTGCTTGAGTAGTACAATTTGAATATAATCCACAAGAACATTGTTCATCATAGATTAGAGCTTCGGTTGGTGCATACATTCCACGAGGATCATTCCAAGGTACAATATATTCAAAATTTGTTCCATACATTGATATAATTGCATTTCCATGATTGATACTACGAATTAAATAGAAAAGACGACCAAAGATATTAGATGTCATTGGTTGATTTTGTTCAATTAATGATTCGAGATGTTGACTAAAAGTTTCTTCGGATAAAAGTTCAGTTGTAACTAATAGAAAAGAAAGAACTTGTTCGATAGAATTCTTTACTGTTTGTATAGACAGATTGCATAAACCAGTTAAAAATTGCAGATGGGCAGAAACGAAACGGCGATAATCATTTCGTGCATAAGTAGAAAAATTCGATAGAAGATTATTGGTAAGATCAATTCGCCATTGATTTGATACAAATGAACTCGAACAAATCTGAAAAGATCGAAAAAGAATAAGAAAACATAATGTTGAAGATTCTTTACCTGATGAAATATTGGTTCAATATGAATAAAATGATTGTATGATGATGCAATCACTGAACAAGAACATTTTAAGTTATCACCATAAATACTTTTCATATGTTTATATTGATAAAAAGATGGGTGATCAAATACTTCGGTTAATGTTCTCGGTTGAATGATTGTATATAAAATAAGAATAACAAAAGAGATAATAAGTAGAATGATATATAAACGTGTAGCCAATCGACCAAGATATTGGGCAATTGTTTGATCAATATTATTATCGAAATCTCGTATAAGAAATACATTTAGATTGACAAGAGTTTTAAATAAAAACGTAATTGAATTCTTTGACTTTGTTTTCCAACGTTCGGCCCATGACTGATGTCCATTTTTTCTTTCAGATTGTTTTTTCCTACGTAATTTTGGTAAATGAAAGATAAATTTATAAAGATATGGTGTAAGCAAATGTAATGTAGCAGCTAAGCCGCCAATCATAGACAATAATACTATCAATATTCCGATAGTAGTTTTCGAACGAACTCTTTCTGAATAAGTACAATGACTTGGTGCACATGAATGATAATATTGATCATACGATAATGATGAATTCCATTGTTCAATCATCATATTTTTTATAATGATTGAAATTGAAGTATTCGGAGGGAAACGATGTAATGTTGGATCGTAGACCAAACTAGGAATATTACACCATAATGGATGTCTTTCACATAAACCAGGTATTTGTATTTCAGTAATATTTAATAGATTTGAAAGACAATTTGAATTTGAATAAAAACATTGAAGCGTTGAAAGAAACAAAGATTCAGTTGTTCTACAACTCCTACGAAAATCTGGTAGTACGGATAGAATATTATATTCAGAGTCAAGTACAGAATCATATGTATTGTTATAAACAGCACTAATACTTTGACAATGTGGATTATTGGCACATACACATGTGTTCATTGTTGAATTAACATCAACAATTTGCGGTAAACGAAATGCTATCTGAAAGAGAAAAATAAGAGTAAGTTTCATAAAAAAAAATGCACATACCTCTAACCATTCATCACCAGTTGTTTCATTCGATGCTACAGTCACATGTAAATTCTCATCATGTATATTCCAAAAAAGTACCACTGATCCCATATAAGGTTGATCAATATGCATGAAAAGACTTGCTATTTCAATGAGAAGATCAAAATAAGTAATTGTTGTATGATAGAATTGATGAAGAGTAGCATTCATTTGTAGATTAAAATCGAATTCGGTCAGAACATTAGACACAACCAATGATTGTAAGAGAAAACGACTCACAGCATTTTCTCTCGTTCTATTCGCTAGTTGACAAAGATTAGATAACAATCGTAAATATCCATGCGCTCTATGACGCCAATCTACAGGAATCCAAAGAGATGAAAATTCTTCCCACAATGAAATCCATTGAGGATCAATAAATTCACTTGAACATATTTGATGTAAAGTTGGAGATAATGAAATAAAATCTTCATAAGGAATAGTTGTGTTAATACAAGAACATCGAAGTGTCTTTGAATGTAAGACTTGTAAATTATTGTACATATCTATAGATGGATTGACTACGGATCTTGTCACGATTTCAGTACTTAATGAAGTAAAGAAAATAAGAACAAGAAATAAACCTAAGAACACATAGTTAAAATCAAAGAAGGAAAAGAAATTTGACAAAAATTATCGTACCAATGAAGAGAATTAGATAGACACATGTGATAATTCTTTGTTGTTTGATATTCGATTTAGATCGTTTATTTTTATTTTTAAATAAATTTAATCGTAGAAGTGATTGGTTCAGCATACGCATACGTTCCACGTAAGATACTAGAAACTTAGATATTTATTAAATGTTCTATTATATAGTAGAATTACCTGACTCAATATTTGGATTTTTTGATTGCCATTTTAATGGAATTTTAATAAAAACTAATGCGATGACACGGCATATTAATGTAAGACTACCATAGAGACTAATAAAGAGAGTAAGTGCAAAGGAAAAATTCGTCGAATTCGTTGCTCTATATGTACAAGATGACGGTGCACACTCTTTGAAATATTTCGAATAGTTAAGCGTTGTTGACCATTCATTAATGAAAAGATTTGTTAAAATATTGTATACAGATATATTTTGTTTTTCAGAACGTAGAACATAATTGGACCAATTGTATGACATCTATACAAAAAAACAATTTTATAACACAGATGACAATGAGAAGTATGTCGGAAAGAAAGATATTCCATACTCGATTAAGCTCAGGAAAATAATCTGATAGTAATTCAAGACATTCGATATCATATAGACAATCTAGTGTACTTGAAAGAATGGCTTCAACAGGCGTACATGCGCCATAGAAGCCTTTGATTAATGTTGTATTTGATTCAATTATAGACCATTCTTCATGAGATGAATAATGTGAAATATTTGAAACAGAAAAGAAATCAGCTGCACTAATTGGATTTTCTTTACCACATATAGCGCGTACTTCTAAATAGGAATCATTTTCAGTACTGGTGATCACTTTTGTTGGTTTTTGGTAAGCAGCAAAATGGTCTTTATTTACTGTCGTGTAAATAATACTGTTGGTGTTAAGAGCTGAAATTAGATAGTTTCCTTGTGTAGTCGTTTTGAGATAATTTAAATATGAGACAATCATAATAGATGCATTATTCCTATAAAAATCTACAATGCTATTAATTCGATACTGAACTTCTGTTTCTCGAAGAAGATAAATCGTGACAAACTGATGATTATCAAATTCTAATTGATTTTGAGAAATTGTCTTTTCTGAAAGTAAACAAAAACTAGCGAGAAGTTTGAACTAAATGTGAAAAAATAAATTGAGAAAACTCTTTCAACATCATTTTCGTTTTACTTGAGAATTGGCTGTTGTTCGAAAATCTAACGTACCATATCGACTTGCATCAGATAGATACAATGTTCTAATCCATTCTTCACTAATGAAAATGCTCGAACAAACAGGATGAAATGTGATGAGATTGGAGACGAAAATATTATACGGAATCGCAACTTTCGAACATGGACAAGATAATGTTGTCGAATGTTTGATATAGAGCTGCTCGAAAAGATCAAGAGTAATAGGAGACGTTGTAATTGTTCGAGATTCTGGTCTCATCAAGGCCATATAAAAAAGAATATAAAGTGATACTAAAAAGAAGGGAGTTTATATTTTGAGAGAATTATTTTCTTGTAATTATTCACTTGAAAGAAGAAAAATATAGAACCAAGTTGCATATGTTTGGTATTGAAGAATAGTTTTAGCATCCTGTAGATGGTCATTGTCATCGTCATCGTCATAATCATCTTCTTCAGGAAGGAAGAGATTATAATTACGTATATAATTTGTAATCCAACGGAGAATAGTTCTAGGTTGAATCATTGTAAAAACCCAAAGCAAAATTAACGAAAATAAGTTCGATATAAAGATTATTTATACCTATATCGATATATTTTTTATTTTGTCTGATGCACAGAAATAGTATCAGTATAGGCGGTAATATTTGCAGATTAGATCGATAGATATATATATCATTTTTCTTTCGTATTGGTTGAAGAACGAAAACGAACTTATATAAATATGTATTGGCATTAGAGTATAGATATTCAAACTTTTCTTTCTATAAAAGCATATTTTATGGCTTATTAAAAATTTGTCATCCTAGAAGCCATTTGCAAACACATTTCTTACCATATCAATTGACGGATAGGATCGTTCATCTTTTTAGTTTTTAACTTCGACAATACAACTAATTTTCAGTTAGATATGCACCACTACTCTCTATGACTTGTCGCCATTGGTCTGCCAGAGATAGGATACAGCATTCGTCGAAGTTCTTTGACTTTTGACCAGAGAAGTTGGCGATATTCATTTTTATGTCGTTGAACTTTCTCCATTGAGTTTTATCCCTCATTTTCGGCTGTATAAAAGCGTGATGTCTTCCGAAATAAATAATAATGTAAACAATAAAATATACGCATTCTTCCTCATATTAATATAGAACCGCGTTGTGAGAAATGATACGAAGAGAAAATCCAAAAGAACGATTTACGGACGAAAGAATCAGCTTCTGCTACGGTCGAGTTGGGGGAACCAACCATTCTTCTCTAAATCTCACTAACTTTGGAGGATGCGAGGACTTATCAAAGATCATAGAAAGATAGCGTGTTTCGCTGTTTCTTTTGGTAAAAAAAGAAATTTTTGTACACCTTTCAAATATTTTCACATTGTTTTCATGAGCAAGAGCATCGAGATGATCATACTTGTTTTCAAACATACCTTTCCAAAATACTTTCTTTGTTATTATGTTTCATAAAATGCACCCTCACCCACACCCTCTACCTCATATATAATGCTATATATAGTACTAGAATCACCCTATCAAGCGTACATCTTATCGTAATAATTAATGTAGATCATACAAATGCTAGAATAGTGAAACGACATGAAAGATCAAGAATAGGATGTTTATTCAAGTTCAGATTACGTAGTGCAGAAACAACTTGTACAATCTTGGTTGCCTTATGTAGAACTGTAAGAACATGTACACTTCCATCTTGAGGGTGGGCGTGGAGTTAAATTCTGTTCGCTGCTAGATATTACGATTGTTTCGTTGTTCGTATTAGACTAAATGTTTTTTCGACTTAGCAAGTGAACTTCACAATTTGATGTCATTTTACTGATTTTCTCGTAGTTCGATTCGTTAGTTTTAGTTTGTTGTTTGCAAGTATAGATTACATTATTCTTCAGCAATTCTTCCGTTGTTCTCATTGGTAATAGTGGTATCGGTAATCACTGACACATTTCTTTATGCTGTTGACAAAGAATATATTTTTCAAAACTCTACGCTAAAACTGACCACTAACCGTTGTACTTTGAAAAAGAAATTAAGCTTCTGATATTTAGTATAGCCGTATAGACTACCATATGCTACACCCTCACACACACCAGCTATACTTCGCGTAGTTATAAGTAAGACCACAGGATAAACCTACGGAATTCTCTGAAAATGAACAAATTTAGGAATATTCGTCTATCAACTGCACTTCAACTTCAACTTCAAGAAGTCTGGACAACAATCAGCAGTTACCGCAAAACTACCAATGGTTTCGTAGATCAGGTGAAAACCCATCGGAGTCGTAACGAAACCATCTTGGGGTGTTGGAAATGATTGTCAAAATCTTAGAGTTTGACGAAACTACCTATTTTTAGTGTATATGTGTGTGTGTGTATGTTATTGCATATAGATATAGATATTTTTTAAATAAACATCTTTCACCTAACGACACGACCTAACAATGCCCGTACATACTGTTGGATAGAGAAAGTGCTTAACTACAAACCTACATAGATCTCACTTTGTAGTCGAAAAATTGTGTGTAACTCATAATCACCTTTCTGTTCATCAACTAAAATCAGACCTAGAAACAGCTTTCTCTCTGCGTCAAGAGTGTTTCGCTGTTCAGCTGTTGTTGCTCGTTCGTGATAAATTTCTGTTCATCAACTAAAATCAGACCGGGAAAAAATTTGCTTTCTTCCTCAGGGTATTTCGCTGTTCAGCTGTTATCTTTCAATAAAATAAAGAGAGAAGTAGCACATATTTGTCAGCTGCTGAGTGAAATAGAGAAAAACTGTTTCTGTTCGGCAAATCATTTGGAAAAACTTCAAATGCAAGGTGAGCAAGTTGACAGTGTTGGATGCTTTAGACGCCTCAAACGGTTTTTTGTTGAACTAAATGTTTTTAAAAAGAACTCAATCGACGAAACAAGCATTAAAATAGAACGATGGTCTTCGCGTATATATATTGTTGTGCTGTGCTTGTCAATGTCAATTCTACTGGCTTACAACGGATTACATGTCGAACAAGTTCAGGTGGAAGTGAAGAATCCTTCTTTAGAAACATATCGGAAACTGATTATGAAATATAGTGATAGTGTTGTCGAATGTCCATGTTCTCAGATTTCTTCTTTATATGAGTCATTCATTCAGCTGACACCCACATATCATAGTATTTGTTCAAGCAGTTTCATCTCTCAACAATGGATTGAAGCATTATTTGATGCTTTATCGACTATGCGTTATTTTTTGGATTTTCGGACAACAGGTAGTTTAGAATTTCAATCCATAAGAGAAATATGTAGCTTATCGCAGTCAACTTTCAACAGTTACATAGAAGTATTCTACAATGAAGAATTCATAGCAGGCTATCTGGTACATGAAAATGTGTTCGAAGCGCAAATAGCAACGATTGTGGATAGCTTTCGTTTGGACACTATATCGAAATTTGCTTTTTCTTTTTCACTTTCGCAGCTGATCATGCATTCAAATTTATTGGTTTCTTGCATTCAAGCGAACTATATATATGTATATTACACCGTAGATAAAATCAACTGGGGTGTGGCTGTAGGCGATGTTTTTGTGCCGCTAGCTAATGGCATTAAGTGCTATTGTAACTCCGCGTCAACCGATTGTCCTCAGGCACAGGGATTCTACGACTTACAATTGCCCGTTAGCGTATTAGTGTGGCCAACGTATACACCAACACGAATTCTTGAAAATTGGTCGTCTGGCTGTTATGCTATGGATCAAATTCTTTCAACTTCTATCGAACGAACTTTCTTGAGTAATCAAACTGCACTTGACATTTTTGTCTCGTATTTCAATAACTCATCGCTGTCGAATATGAAGCGACCGATTGCTTTGAATAAATCAAATGTGATCAATCAAAATAGTACTTTCAATGAGGTTGTACAAAGTACTATGCTTCTTAAAGACTTGCGAATAGAAGTCAACTACTCACTTTATTTTGCTGACTGTCGACCCAAATCTTGTCTTTATACAATCCAGCAGCACTACAGCTTTCTCTATATGTTTACTACCCTTTTTGGCCTCTATGGTGGTTTATCAGTGGCTCTTCGGTTGATTATTCCACTTGTAGTCGGATTCTTGGTTCGACGCGTCTTTCGAAAATCACCAACTATTCCTTCTACCAGTGTGGGTAAGTACAGAAAGAAAAACTTGATCTTCTGAGGCTAATACTGCATTGTTGAGAAAAGCAATATAATATTATACGATTGAAAAAGGAAAAAAATTATGAGAATCTGCCAAAGTAATTGGCGATTCTAGCAGTGTAACTGTTTGAAATCGGCAGTCTGAATCTATTTAGTTAAAATCAAACGTAAACTGTAGACAAAATCCATATGATATCTAATCAGTTGAAGAGGAACTATTTTGTAGATACAGTCATGGTACGAACTAAAATGTGGAAAAAGCAGACAAGAGAAATGGCGATGCAAACCTGGATTTTATTAAATGATCTGAATCTATTCAAGTCATCACCTCGACAGCATGGATCAGATATCAGACAACAACGCTGGATGACGCGAATTTATTTTTTAATTTTTGGCCTTTTTATCAGCATTCTTATGATTTATATGATGGCGGATGTTGAAATAAAATCAGTCGAAGTCAAATATCCTTCAATGACTACAGTAGAGCAGCTAGAATTTGAAAGTATTAATGGATTGATTTCATCTTTACAATGTTCATGTACAAAATTCATTGTACCGTATGGTTCATTTATTCAAGTCCAGCAGCCTGTCTACCATCAAGTCTGCTCAAGCGCCCTAGTGACGCCAAGCTGGCAGAATACCCTTAGTGGCTCTTCGGCCGGTAAGAAAGTTTTCTGTTATGCAGGATAGATCGACATTATGAGTATTTTTATCTTAAAATACTCGGAATAAGGGAGGCGCGGTGTTGATTTGCTGACTGTCGTTTCTAACTGAAAGATGCCATACTATTTCACATACAAACGACAGTCAGCGGTTTTGTCGATGTACAGTGATCGGAAATATCAGTGCAATAATGCCAGTTTTTTCAGTATTATCGCTGATACCGCACACCCTTAAATATTCCCATAATTAGTGGTGTAAGCAAGGATGGGCTAGGTTGGGTACTGCCCATCTTTCTTGAGAACTTGCTTTTTGTCATAATAGACATAATGAAACACTACTGTTTACATTCATTCATACGTTTTCTCAGGTATAGTTGAGTCGTATAGTCAGTTCAAGGGGAAACAAACCGATTTCTATCAATAGAAGTCAGTTTGACATCAGAGAAATCATCACAGTTCATTAGAAATTACTGGAGCTAATAATTTTTTCAATCAACAAGTAAGATATGATTTCCAGAACTATTTTCAAGATGCACATACGAAGAGTAGAAAACGAAGGTTTTGCGATCTGAAATTTCGAAAAAAACTGAAAAAGCATATAAAATCATTTAAATAAACTTTAGTCACTATGAACACTATCTAGTTTTTACTCCAAGTATTCATAAACTATAAAGAATACATGGGTCATCGCGCGTATTTGTTTCCTATTTACAATTCGAAAAATTGGAAAAATCAAGAAAAAATCACAAAAATTCACAAAACTGCTCTTTAGGAAACATGATCTGAAAAGATGTTGAAATACTTATGAGTAGAAATTCAGACCTATAATATTTGTCCACAGCTGCGACCGGGATCGATCCGAAACAGGACCTTAAGCATATCGACACCATTCTGCGGGACATTCCCTAGCTGACAAAAATACTAAAATACAGGCTGGAGCATCACATTTCAATTAAAAAAGCGTCACTCTGGCAAACCCCCAACACATCCAATTCTTCATACAAGTGATCGACAGACAAATAGACTGACTATCAAACTGTATCACAACAAACAGACCAAATGAATCATGCTTCACATTTTTAATTCCACCGGAGATGACACCGAGAGCTTTTTCGCATTGTAAATACATATTATATGTTTATTCTACGAGACAAGAATATCATATGTTATATTTAAAAAAAGTGAAAAATCGTTAGGGCGGCGTCCAACCATTCATCGAATCTTGATTACACCACTACGCATAATACTAATAGAAATCGAGGAAAGAAGTTATAGTATATATATCACTAAAAGCATCTTGAAGATAAGGTCACAAATCTACTTTTATCGTTCAATTTATTTATAATATGTTGAGAATCTGGTAAATTTTTTCATAGAAGAAAATCTCTCACGGAAATTGAAATAGTGTTAGGCAAACTATTTGATTACTTACTTTTTTATGTTCAGTCTTATCCTTTGAAAAAACGATATATATTAAGCAAATTTAGTTCGGTTTTGTCGAATCATATGTCATCTATGGAATGAAACTTTTGTTTGACCAGATCTGATCGACAAATCAATGTATCCGTACATAGAGAAAGCATAGAACATTTTTAAAAGAAGCAGAGTGTAGATTTAGAAAGAAATATAAGTTATAATTAAACACCAATGCACATTCTTCAAATTTCACTCTCATATATGAGATGAAAAGTGGATCCTCTTTCCATTCGTTCCCTCACTAACTCTCTATTCTTGATCTGATTATGAACACATTGATTTATGAGTGAGTTATTGTATTCAAAACGTACGATGACGAGGAAACACTTCTCGACAAATTGCTGTATCAACAAAGTAGTCTGTGAAAGAAATTTTTTTGGCAAACTATACAATTATTTTTTTTTCTCCACAAACCAACTACAGACAGCATACACCTTATATAGTTACAGTCTAGCTTTGCATCAGTCTCCATCAAATAATTAAAATCGATAGCGTCGAATAAGAATGTAATGATGATTCAGTGTAAGACTGCGGTTATTGAATGTGAAGTCTACATGCGAGACACTTGACATTAGTCATCGTCAAAACACTCATACATCATATACGCATTGTTTTTCTTTACCTTTTGTCTATATTATGTTCCCAAAACATCATGACAAAGAAAAATCACGGATGAAACGCATCGACTACAGATATTTATTCCACTACTTCTAATATATAATGTTAAGCAAGAGTAAATACGGAAATCATGAAATCAATGTTCAAATTCGATTCCTGTCAGTAATATCAAACTCGAAAGTTAAATTCGAGTATGTGAAGTATCCTTACCCTCAGATACTCTCCTACACACAAATAGTCGAATAGATACTTGAATGCAAGTTTCTTGTATTACATACATGATTCATATAAGAATTGTTCATTTTGACAATAGTTTTAGTGCAAATTCAGAATAAGTAAGGAGTTGAATTTGAAATTTGTTTTCACATATGTCAAAAATAACAATTCTGCCATTCAAATCTGTGACAATTAGTTGATCGGCTTTGACAGAGAGCTAAGCGATATATCAACAATTGTGAGAAATTCATTTGATAAAATCCATATTGCAGGCACACAAATGTTTCCGAAGTACTTTACGTTATTTGTAAGTAGAATGCACAGTCTAACGTTGAAGTTTCTGATGTATATGAAAACCCCAATTTAAACTAGTTAAATCGGATCTGAGACCAAAAACTACACTAAAAAAATATATTGATTCAACTTCAAAAAATCTATTTGATTTAGGTGGTACTTTGAAATATAAATTCGACTTTACGACTACTGCACAAATATTTTCGATATTGAGAACGCTTTGCACGTTTTCCAATAAGACAATTTTTCAGTCACTAGCAGATTTCAAGCAAACAAAAATAGTCACTACGCAACTAATCACACGCAGTATCTTTGATGTTCAAATAAACTCTACTATCAACGACTTTAGACTGACAACAATAAATAGTTTTTTACGATTTCTTCAAGTTCAGAGCAATATTTCTTTTATCAACCAAATTATCACTGGCCTATGGAAAAACGTTTATATTTATGTATTGAATTCGTCTAATCCCATCCCATTTATTAGTCCCAGACAATACAACAATTCGAACTATATCTGCTCATGTGCGAATGATTCAAGCTGTCATACTGCATTGGGTGTATATAGGTTTTTTGGCCAACCAGTAACACCACTATATACTGTTCCTGGAATGTATGCATCATGCTCAATCATGACTTCGTTTTTAGTTTCAACACTGGAATGTTTTTATGATAATACTGACTGTGTGGACCAATTGGTAAAATTTTATAATAGGACTCAATTCAATATAACTCGACTTAATTCTTCTCCTAACGCTAGTCGCTTTGCAGAAAATATTACGATGGGTGACCTACTCTCTCAACTATTCATTGAGACTTGGGACACATCATCGAATTATTCATCATATTTTCATCAGTGCAAACCAGCATCGTGTACTTATAAGATTTCACGACGAAATAGTGGAATAGAAACTGTGACACGAATTACTGCTTTGATTGGTGGTTTGTCAATTTCTTTGAAGATCATTGTTGTTTTACTTGGCGCAATACTGGCTCATTCTATACGCAGACGTCAACAACAAGAGATGATAGAATCAAGTAAGAAAACGCTTGAAATAGAAGCCCATGAGTTAAAATGTGTAAAGCATTACCGACTATCTATCTATGCATCGTTCTGTCCTTAATAACTAACTTCAGGCAACTCAAAGGAAATACAACCGTATTACTCTAAACATTTTGTTAGTTCGCAATCACATCGTTATGCTCGTCCTAGTTAACATAGCTTTAAATCTCAATTAAAAACTTGAAATCATTCGATAAAACAGGAATAAAACAACTGTAAACCTACGGTTTTTTTCAAAGAGAAGTATGCTTTTTCTTTCATATTGCTCTTTGTCAGACACAAGAAATATGTGAACAATCAGTGACTGAATAAAATAGTGCTGAACTTAATATACTGTGTGATTACGAACTATTCAAATTATTAGGAGTAAGGAAGAAAGAATGGGCTGAGACTGTCCATGAGTTCAGAAGAATTCATATGATTTTATACAATTGAGAATAAAATCGTCTTTTTCTATCCATCAATTGCGTCTCTGATTCACATCTCTAATCTAATTGCTCTCTTTACTAAATAAAAGCGTAAGTAGGAAAAATAGGACAGAGTCGATGCATCTCATCATCAAAACTAACCTTTTCTTAACAAGTACCTTCGGATTGTTTGAGAGAATGTAGTTTTTTTGTGTATTTTTCTATGTCATTCTTTTTGATAGATTACACTATAATGGCACTGAACCTAAAGATTTTTGAGTGGTTAAAAAAATTAAATATTTTCGATGGCATGACGAACAATACAGTTGAACAACAACGTCGAGCAACGCGTCTTTATATAGTTCTTCTTATTATTGCATTATTCATTCTTATTCTTAATAATCTGCTAGTACATTTCTTTCATACTTTCACAGTATCAAATCCATCGCTAGATCAATATCGTGAATTAGAACACCGCTATGGTATAGACGCCATTAGTTGTCCATGTACTCAATTATCCATTCCATATGCATCATTCGTCGAAACGACATTTAACTTTCATGAACTGTGCGGAAGTCAATTTGTCTCCAACATATTCATACAAAATTTATTTCAAGTGTATAATGGGTTGAATAATTCCGATCCAAAGTTAATTGTATTCACACTTGAAGGGACAGCTTTTAGCCGCTTTCAAAGTCTTGCCATATTGTGCAATATTACCGCTGATATTATACATGATGGCCGTCAACAATTTCTTTCATCATCAGTGATCTCTGCTTATATGATTGATATTGATCTTTTTAATCAACAAACAAATGCTGCACTCGAGAAATTTCAATCCACATTACCTCAAACATATATAAATTCGCTTGAGCTTTTACGAAGTCTTACACAAGGTAATGGACTAGTGTCTCTATTTTCGACTAATTGGTATCTTCAAACTTATAATGTTTCATATGCAGCACCTATCTATTTTCATCCACAAATCTATGGAAACTGCAGTTGTGCCACGTCATCTGCATGTACTCAACCATCGGTTCCATTTATTTCTGGTTATCTTGTTGGTTGTACTCCACTTGAGTCGCTTCTTCAAAGTACTCTTGAATGTCTCTATGATCAGTCATGTATCGATCTTCTCACTTTCTATTTGAACATGTCTTTACCTTCTCGGATTACCTCGTTACATAAAAATACAACACGTTTCTCTTCAAATGATACTATTGACTCTATCGCTCGACAATTGTTTATTGAAACTCGATCATCTAATATATCATACGATAATTTCTTTCAAAAATGTCAACCTCTCACTTGCTATGTGATGATTATTACACCAAATAATTATCTTATTGTTATCACTACAATATTGGGTCTTTATGGAGGCTTAACTACATTTTTAAAACTTGTTGTTCCTTGGTCGATATTAACTATTGAAAAACTCAAGAGAAAACTCAGTCAAAACAAACAAGTCAGAGCACAACCAACCACGAATATGATGGATAGTTGAAGCATCGTTTTGTTTGGTTGTTAGTGACAAAGAAAAGACAGAACAATATGACATACAACAGACTCTAAATCAATGCAGATGAAAAACATGCACTCGAAGCATTTTCAAACTTTAAAAGTCATTTAAAATCATCTGACGTCCTTACTTAGGATTATCCAAAAATAATGTCGGAGCTATCTTATTCGCTTATAAGACGATCAGAAAAAATGTCTTTTTTTCATAGAACGATAGAGAAAATAAAGCTCTATTTTTTTCTGTACCATTGAATTCTCCTTCAGTTAATACTATAGGCAATAAAGCTTTGATGTGAATTGTGTTTGTGTAAAACTTAAGTAACGAAAAGGCCATTATGAGTGTTCACATTTTGCATTTTGATTTAGTATTTTTTTTTCATCAAAAATCAAATATACCAGAAAATGCAGCGCGAAAAGCTCTACAGTTTACAAAGAACAGTTTGTTTTTATTTTGTACCTCCTACTTTCAAAAAAAAAGAAAGCTTCTGTGTAATCAGCTTTCCCAATAATGAAAGTTGACTTCATGGAGCTTTGAAAACGAGAAGTACATAATTAAAATAACCTGCTCTTTGTAAACTGTAGAGCTTCTCATGTGACATCTTTTGGTGTATTTCGTTTTGTTTAAGAAGACGCATTCGATTGTAGAAAACACAGGAAAGGAATTTTTCGCAACAGCCATACACTGAAAACTCCACCACGGAGGAGCGTTTGACAGAAGGGATGCAGATACCACCATCAGTAAAACAAAAGACGAAAGAAACCAACCATGAACGATGATCATAGGAATCCATACCGGCTCGGGCGTCGCCCAGGAAAACACGCATAGACTGAGGCTAGCAAAGAAACTCCTGACAGTGGGAACATGGAATGTGCAGACTCTGTGGGCTGCGGACAAGCTAGAGCCGCTTCGAAACGAAGTGAAACGTTTCAGATACGACATCATTGATATATCCGAAGTCCGCTGGACAGGAAAAGGCGAAACGCCAAGCACAACAGTGTCGCAGAGTTGATGTAAGCCGATTGACGGACGAGAAAACGAGGCAATCCTACAATGCTACAGTAGCCAAACACATGGAAAGCATAGGTCCCACAGACGATCTGGAAGAGCATTTCGCGAGGATCTCAGAAGCGCAGTCGAGTCAAGCGTACAGAGACTCTTGTACGAGAGTCAAGAAAGCGGCAAGACAGGATAAAGAGCATTGGATCCACGAACAATGCGAGCAAGCTCGCTGAAAAAGAATAAAAGTCCAGGGTTGGACGGAATCACTGCAGAGATGCTATAAGCTGGAGGGGAACAGCTGGCGAGAAGGTACCATCCCAGAAGAGTGGGGCAAGTCTCTTCTAGTACCGATACCAAAGAAAGGAGATCTAAGTAACTGCTCGAGCTACCGAACGATTTCTCTTATCAATCATACGGGAAAGGTACTTTTGACAGTGCTACTAAGCAGACAAAAGGTCACCTCGATCCGTACCTATCGGAAGAACAAGCTGGCTTCCGACAGGACAGAAGTACTATACATCAGATCTTGACATTGCGGCTCATAGCCGAAAAGGCTGAACGACATTGGAAAAAAGTATACAACTGTTTCATTGACTTTCAAAAAGCATTCGATACGATCAAGCATAACATCATCTGGGGTACGTTGAAGTCCTACGGGGTGGGAACGAGATAAGGCGATCCGCTGTCACCACTCCTCTTCATCGCATACCTCGATCGAGTCATGGATCAGGTGAGACAGAACAACTGCGGAGTCCGAATCGGTGGAATGACGATATTGATCTCATGGAGAAGGACCTCGACTTACTCAAGTCAAAT